TTTTCACGTAGTGATAATATGGAGATGCTAGGATATGGTATGTACTCTTATTATTTATCTGTTTAATGCAAAAACATGCGTTTTGGAGTTTTATAAAAATTTTTTATTGAAAGTTGTTTTTCCTAGATTTGGTTTCCTACAAAACCAACTCATTTCGAGTTATAAACTTTTGGCTGCGTCTTGCTGCAGCTGAGATAAATGTTATCTTGAAGTACAGAATGACTAGATTAGGGACATATAGGTTTCATCATTGTGAGGTGCCAAACTATATATGTTCATAGTACAGAAAAAAAGATGTGTTTCCCAAATCCAATTTTGTTGTTGTTTTATGTAAATTTCTCAAGTACTCTGTTTCGATGAGGACTATTTTTGGTATTTGGCACACTAACGAGGATAGTGGCTTACGAAAGTTAGGTACCTGTTAAAAAAGACATATTTTCAAAATATGTGTTGTATTTCTTAATTCATTATTTCCATTATAATGTTGATATTATTATAAGTATTAGAACCTATGGTGTTTTTCAATATATCTTGTTTGCCCTTATTGTGAACTGTTTTATTTTATTTCATTAATATAAGGTTGATCTAAAACAATATCTCAAAACAAAAATACTGAGAAACATTTTTAGTACCTACTTAGTATTTTTTCCCAAAAACGAATTTTATGAAGTATATTTTCAGGTTTTTACAACTGTATTTTAAGGTTTAAAATACAATGAAAGAGGTTAAATCTAAGTTGTGTATTTATCGCCGCTCTAGTATGAAAGGGGAATCACTGTACAATGGTTTTCGATAAATCCGTGGTGGGAAGTTTTCAAATGAATACCCTGTACATCTCTATTTCCCTAGCTGTATTGCCAGAACTCAAGCTGAAGCTTTCAAATATACATATAGAATGACTGGGCTGTTGTTTAGTTGCAAAATAAACAGGGAGCAGTGCCGCGAGAGGTTGCAAAGTGAATAAATGAATTCCGGAATAGAAATGTTGAGTACTAGACGGCGAAGTCCTTTGTTTTAGTGTAAGTGTTTGAAACGAAGCACCAGCAAAGAATATTTAGATCTTATCCGGCTTATATCAGTCCTTTTGTCAAGTTGATGTGAGGCTATGAGAGAGGTAGAGTAAGAAAGCTGTTGATTGTGAACACCACTTTAGAGCATGATACCTCACTTTTTGTGGTCAAAGTAATCATCTGCCATGATTTTGTTTGATAAACTTGGCCCTCTGTCCGTTGAGCATAATAGTTACAGGTCTCATATTACTCAATATCCCTATTAACTCATGGATCGAATGCGTTTTATACCAAGGTTGGTTATTAATATAAATAATTTAAATAATTATAATATTGTAAATTAATTTACTTAAGAGAGATGTTCTTATGGCATAATTTTCAATGTCATCTCAACCAACAGAAAATAGTAAAGTGTATTGATACCAGCATTAACCCCATTCCATACAACATTTGTTAAAATAATATCGCATTTGTTACGTTTGCAGATATAATTACTTTTCACTTTAAGCTCCTGTAAAACTGTAGTGAAACGAACAAAAAATGTATAAACATGTATAAACCAGCAGGAATTAGTATTCCTAAGCAGATTCCTACATGACGATCTACCACAAACATCTGCTATGAACCTCACGACTTTTCATTTCATGAAAGATTTTGTAGAAATCCCGAAAAGTATGCCATATCTAATAACTGGGTCAATCAGTGCATGATACAAAACGATTGACCTATGGAGGGAACATCACTTCGTTTGAGGTGATATGAGACCCAGAGCTAATTATATATGGAATTGTTCACCGCTCTCATAAAACACATTATTTTTCTCATTCCTACAGAAATTATATTAGCTACACTATGATTCCGTATATAATTATTATCTTCCGGACATAGCAGACAACATATTCCCTTCTGCGAGTTGTCAACATCATCTGTCAACAGTTTTCAGTCAGAGTTAAGAGGCCTTGCAGTGAAGAAAAAGGCTAAAACGTCTTGCTTTTCCCTGATTTTAATACATACTTGATGTATAGGGTGTCCCAACCGTGCGAGAACAGAGCATTGCTTCTAAACAAAAGCAGTTCGAAAAAAATATGTGGGTTATCATATATAACATCTAGGGGCACATTTCTAAAATATTGTTATACAGTGATACAGTGTATCACAATTTGAACCCACATATCAACTTTTTAAATGGGATGCCTCGTGATTTATTACATATTGATAGGCCATTCCAAAAGAGGAAAGGTAATATCAGGTTTAATATACATCCTTATAGATTTTGCGTATTTTCCGTTGAGCTATTAGGTAGTTTATTCAAGGTGTGGTAATGAATGTCGTGTAATCTTTTTCATTATACACATTTTCATCCTAACCTATTTCATAAAATCAAGGTGTATGGTAGGTTGCAACTTATAACGTTTTTTGTCTCCATCGCTGATGGATGACATAATTAAATATAGCTTATACCCTTTGAGATCTATATCAGGATAAAGCTTGAAAAAAGTCAAATCAAGAAATGTTCAAATATATAAATTCCATTGAGAAAGAGTACATTTTGATAAAATACTTACAACACCTACTAATCAAAACCCATTCGTATGTTATATCAATATTTTTCTTTTAAAAGAGTCTATCCGAATTTGTAATTGAAACTAGGGTATTCGATTGGAAAAAGAACAACTTTGACATGTGGGTCAAAATTGGGATACCGATTATGAATATTTTCTACCCAGGGTACCATAATACAATATTCAACTAATCGTTAACTTTGAAAAGTTTTTGTTTAGAAGCAATACTTTGTCCTCGTACGGTTGACACACAATATACGAATAATTTTCGATAGTTTCCTACTGAAAAGGGTTACGTACTTACTCGTTGGTAATTCATATTGAATATATTCCATTTACTAGCAGACTGCTATATCTAGTACATCTTGATGACTTATCAAATCAGGTTTACCTATGTCCTGACCTAGTAGTAGTAGTAGCAGTGGTGGTGGTGGGGAGCCAAAGCCTGGCAACTGGATTATTTTAACCGTTCTTTCTGACCCTGTAATACCATCTCTGCACTGCACTTCAACCCGCGGGCCTCCTTACCTGTTTTTTTGATTTTGATGTTTAATTATACTTTTCGATGACTTTCATGCTGACAAGCCTACACCTGTATTGTGGATACTTATACAGTCTCTTTACTTATCTCTTAATGGTCAAGCGTTTTGCGTTCCTCACCTTTAAAAAAACGTGGAAATTCGAAGAAGCACACTACATCAATCGTCCAAATACACAGTGGAATGTCGAAGTCTCGTCAATGCACAAGCCAAGAAACCTCCGGTTACAACCCGATACAGCGCTGTCCATTCGAATATGATGTTACACCGTTGAGGCACTGACCGTCCTCAAGCGTCAACCGGCTCGCCAGGCGGGAACGCGGTGGGAAGACGATCGGCGAACACCGAGAATGTGGGCGAGTAGAGCACCAGGTCCGGGAGCGGTGATTCGTAGAGAGCGACTGACATGACGCTGCCGAGGCTGCCAACGACGCTTTCGATGGTTGCCGCCGCGACGCTGGACGACGGAAGCGGCCGCGGCGGCAACGCGGAGCCATCCTTGACGCTCGATGGTGCTGGAACCGCGACATCAGCGATGGTGTTTTTATTTGTTTTGTTTATTGAGTGGCTTTGAACGATACTACAGGGAATATGTAGGTAATTTTTTCTTGCAAAAATTTCAACGGACATCTTTCTAGTAACACCGTTAGAATACTGCTTTGTAATAAATAGTAAATCCATATTGGTTTCATTATAGGGCTGGGGCGGTTTTGGCGTTTGGTTAATTATCTTTCAAACTATCATTCTCACAAGAAAAAGTAGTGGAGCCATCTTACTCCCTACACCACTAGCATGGAAGTGTTGTTATCGCGAAGAGTTTTGAAAATGGGATATTATGTCTTTTGGATGTTGTACAATACTAAAAACCATGTCACTTGTCGATAGGGGCATAGATGCAGTTGCAAGTGTATGTATCAGTTAGTTTTAAAGTAATAAATTAGATTTTGGACAGCGAGAATGGTGTTTTGATCTTCCAAAGGACCCACGGGCGACCGTCTTGGGGGTGCGACATCTACCTATCTTTCATCGTATGAAGTGAAGATGAAGATCAACATTGGCAAACTATTGGTAGGTGAAGATAGTTAGATTTTTCAAACGACCATACTCACTTGTTTGATTTCCGTTGATCTGCCTCCAAGACTGCTTGATGACTGATGTGTTGCTAATGAGCACGAAACAGCGTTGTCTGCCTTTGGTTGTGATTACAGAGACGGAAAGCCAATTTTCATTTAAGGTTTTTCCAGAAGCGCCGACCAAAGAACCACACCATGCTCTTGGTAAATGGACCGAGTGCAACATTCATACTGAACAACCAATTACATTGAAAAATTTAACAAGTTTCTTGCATATTGTTGCAAATACTCAACAAAGGACTAACTTCCAACTGGTGCTCGTTGAGTAAATGTTTTAAGAAAAATGTCTTGCATCACTAGAATGAGATGTGGGGTGGCATACGCGATTTGTGAACTAAGAGACCCGATTCTTGAAGAATTGAATGCTATTTCCTGGGATATATGTGAGCTATTCACCGCTTCAGAAGTCGTCTGCATCAGTGTGTTGCTGATAACGGGTGCTATCAAAACTTGATGAATGCAAAATGGTATAAACTGCTCACTCCGAAATTGAAAACCTTTTTTTCGGTACATCATTTTCTATAACCCGTTGAAATTGCCCTTGCCTTGTATAAGTCGGACCCTGATCATCAGAACATGGAAGACCTTTGAGCAGGCTCTAATAGTTTCAATAGGAAAAAGAAGCTGTAAAACATCATATGGCAGAATATCAAAGGAACTTAAAGCATTTTTCCAAGCTGTTGAAATGATTCCAGGGGGGCTGTCAGTAAGTACTTATTACACAGCTAATTTTTATGTTTAATACATTTGCGGAACTGCCGACGCTTTCAACGCCCAAACCCAACATATCCATCTGCCGCAATACCAACGAGTTTTTCTCTTCTGAGCTCTCCTACAAGATGCTGCCCCGTTTTAGGCGGTTTTAATCTCCTCATTTCTAGCGTAACGAGAATGTGAAACAATCTACTAGAAGATCGTTTTCTCAGTTCTACTGAATATACACTAGATTATATCCATTGCGATACCTTGCTCTGCGTCAGTATGAAAAAGCGCAGCCTAAGGCTCACATTTACAGACGTTCCTTGAGGAGTGAGTACCATTTAAGGAAAGATCTCTCTTCGGATTTTAGACTAATGACAACTCTTTCTGGCGCAAGGGTAGATTTAACATATTATGTATGTCGCAGTATGTTGTAACAGCTGTTAGCACAGACTGGTATCAGTATCAGCAGGATTTTCCTCGACTTGTCTAGTTGAAGGAATAGAAAATAAGTATAACCTCCTTTTCAAATAGCCGTACTCGGATAAGGGTAAAGGAACCTATAATGAAAATAATGGGGTGAAGAGAACTTGCAGAGAATTATGGGAGAACATCTGAATTACTTCTTGGTTCTGATGTGCTCTAAATATATGAATACCCCAATTTGTCTCTTTGGATTTTAGACAAGCTGGCAAAACGTCGAAGTGGAGATTTAACATTTGTATTGCGAAGTATGCTGTAACAGGTTTCAGAACAGACTGTTATCAATGTCAGCAAGATTTCCCTTAGCTGGCCTTATCTATTCTCAGGCATTTTGACGATACTTTTAGGCCGGTTTGATATTTTGTGCCATATTTTAATGCAGAATTTCGATGAAAATTGTAAGCTTTCATGATTTTATAAGGTATAACAGAGCGGAACTGAATGAAAATATAAGCAATCCGTATTGCAGTTGTAAAGCGCGCAAGATTTGCACAATCTGCAAGATAACCGACGGTTTTTCATGATAATGAGTAACAGTGAATTTAAGAAAATAATTCAGAAGGAGAAACGTCCAGACACTAGACAAGTTGAAGCAAATAAGAATAAAGAGATAACTCTATTTTGAAAATCTGTATTCGGGATGAGAATAAAAGGATCCATAATGAAAATAATAGGGCGAAGACAGAAGTGAAGGGTTTATAACGGGTGATTTTTTAAGAGGTATAGGATTTGATTTTCAAAAAAAACACAAAAAATTTGGAAAAACGATTAAATCTTTATTTGAGTCGATAGAACGGTCGATATAATTTAATGTTTAAAGATTATTTCATGTAAATGTAGGCCGCGGCTCCGCTTTAGATGGCCCATCCGCAAGGTCCCATTTTGGCACACTCTCTCCAACATATCGGCCCCACGAATAAATGCTTTAATATTGGCTTCCAGTGCGCCAATCGTTGCTGGTTTATCCCTGCAGACATTAGCCTTAACATGGCCCCACAAGAAATAGTCCAACGGCGTTAAATCTCACGATCTAGGCGGCCAATTGATGGGCCCCAAACGTGAGATAAACTGTTCACCGAAGTCGCCTCTCAATAGGGCCATTGTTTCGTGTGCGGTGTGGCATGTGGCACCGTCTTGTTGAAACCACATGTCAGCCAAGTCCAGCTCTTCCATTTTGGGCAAAAAAAAGTTTATCATCGCACGGTAGCGCTCGCCATTCACAGTTGCGTTCCGGCCATTCTCGTCTTTGAAGAAGTACGGCCCGATGATGCCATCGGCCCATAATCCACACCAAACAGTGATTTTTTCGGGATGCATTGGTAGCTCTTGCAATGCTTCTGGCTGGTCTTCACTCCAGATGCGGCAATTTTTCGATAAAAATGTGGATCTTCCTCCAACTTTGCCAGCGCCCATTCACCAAATTGGAAACGTTGTGGGAGGTCGTGTGGCTTCAATTCTTGCACCAGCTGTATCTTATAAGGTTTTACACCCAAATCCTGTGGCAAAATTTTCCACGTAGTGGAGTAACTGAGGCCCAATTGCTGGGAACGGCGGCGAATCGACATTTCACGGTCATCACTAACACTGGCGGATACAGCCGCAATATTTTCTTCAGTCCTCACTCTACATCTGCGTGTTGTTGGTTTAATGTCCAATAATGTAAGCTGGATTCGAAATTTAGTCACAAGCTTCCGAATAGCTCCCTCAGTAGGCCGACCAAATTGCCCATAAATTGGAAGCAGTGCTCGATGCACTCTCTTAACCGAGCATGAATTTTGATAGTAAAATTCAATAATTTGCAAGCGTTGTTCGTTCGTAAGTCGATTCATGGTTAAATTATAGACCAAACTGAACAAGTTTGACAATGACACAAGACACGATTCACGCGTCATCTGTCAAAAACAGTGTTGCCAAAAAGATACTTGCAAAAAAATCACCCATTATAACAGCTAGACGAACAACAATAATCCCTAAGAAATCTTTGTAAAGTAACGCTATTTCTAAGCGTGTAATAACAGAAAATTTGTCTTCAATTTACGGGAGAATTTGTGTTCAATTCACTGTACTGATTTTGGAAAACCTTCGAGTAATTTGCAGACAGTGTAAAATAGTTTGCGAGCTTTACAAATACGCTCCAAATGTCAAACGTACTTTACAGCATGCTGGTTTGCTATCTTCATTCAGCCCTGCTCTATATAAAATCGAGAAAACAAATTGCATTCCTATGTCGTTATTGTTTTTTCATTATTAAAATATAGCCCCCAAAAAAACAAAGCGTCAAAAAATTTTATTATTACAAGGCTAAAAGGATGCGTCCAACAAAAGACTCTCCGACGTCTATAACAATCTGTAATGACAACTCTTAGAGCTTATTGTGATATGCAAATGTTAGCTCTTCCCTTGAGGAAGCATTATTGTATCTTTAATCAAAAAAACGTATATAGCTGCTTCGATACAATATGAAAATGGATAGTTATACATACTTATGTTCTGATGTACCCTGATTATATTTATATCCCAATTTCTTTGAATACACAAAAATTCAGGTTCATAGAAGTTTCTCTGTACTATAACAATATAATTAGCTTCTTGTATACTTTGGAAAAATCTTATTGACACGTGTAGTACCCACAGGAAAATGCCTAGGAAAATAAGAACGTGTCTTTTTGTGCTATATCTGGTTAGCAGCTTATGAATTCGTATCAGGGAGTCTCCTTTGAAATTGTGATATGACCCCAATGTACAAGACGAGCTCTTTTTAGGATTCCCACAGAACTGAATCTTAACTAGATGAATCTGTTTCATCTCTGAAGACGACAAGTGTCCAGAGATTTGATTGAGATGTATTCGATTGACCCAGATACACTGAACTAATATCTGTAATATGCGGATTAGTGCATTTAAATATGTTAGCTAATTTTATATATTAGTTCAGTCACACAAGCAAAAATAACCGTGGTACCACGATTGCTATACATAAATGAAGATTTGACATTTGACTACTATTACTCGTACTTTGGTATAATTGGGAGAAGCTCCTTATGTCCGATTGTTCCACACTCACAAAAAATTAACAGATCGGTCGTACCGACTAGTTCTTGATGTGCGAAGCTCAAGCTATAACGGGAAGCAGAGACGTGGCAACATAGAAGAGAGCTGAACATTTTTATCTATGGATGCCGTGTTTGTCTATATATGAACGTACCAGATCGATTCAAAGTCAAACGAGTAAGTTTATCACATCGTTGGAGCTTGCTTATTTAAGAATCTGTTAGCTTACATGAATAGTAAGTAGTGTTGGTGGCAATGGAGTCGGCACTGTACGTACCTGGATGATTGATGTAGTGAGCTCCTTCCTATTTCGTCATTTGTTCAGAGCGAGGAACCTACTGCACTTGATCATTAAGAGATAAGTGGAGAGATTGTGTAGGTGTGCACAATGCAAATGTAGTTTTGTCAGCACGAAAGTCGAAAAGTATACTGAGTCCTGAATATAGTGTCGGGCTGACATATTGCCTCTGATGACAATTAGTGATGATCTGCTACCATAAGCAACAGCACCCCATACCATAACTCTCACGGTGTGGTGACCGTGATGCTCTCTGTCAAATTGTGGACCACGTCTTGCACCATGTCGCCTTCTCACTCTTGCCTGACCATCGACCATCCCCAGACAGAAGCATGATTCGTCACTAAAGACCACCTGATTCCATTCCCGGTACCATAGAATGCTTTCTCTACACCAGAGCAAACGGTTATGCCGATGTTCAGCTGTGAGAGGTAGCACTCAATGTGGCGATAAGAAAAAATGCCAAACTGTCGTATTCGGCGATATACCGTACGCATACCAACCATCCTTCCATGCTCTTCAAATCACTGATTAGCGATGGCTCGATTATTACTGAATCTGTCTCTCGGAGCCAGAAGTCTTAACCGGCGGTCTTGTTGCTCTGTGGTTGCTGCGGGACGTCCAGAACTCCTGGTCCACCACAAAAACTTAGCAGAAAACCCTGATCATTTTATAACTTTATGACTGTTCATGGCAGGATGAATCGATGTATAAAAAAATATTGAATTCTAATAAACATACGTAGCTTTTTGCCACTCAGTATACAGGGTGTTGTAGTTTATTCTTGCATAACTTTAAGATTCGATAGAACTTTTAAAATTAATGCATAAAGTCTATATAAACATGGGTCGACAAATGCGTGGCTTCCGAAATACAGAGTGTTTAAATTTACTTTCTAAAATAGTTTTTATTTAAATATGTCGGACAATATTTGATGCATAACAGTGAAAATTGGTATACAAGGGTTTTTTGGTACGACAAAACGAACCATGGGCATAGTTTTACTGTAGCCGCTAGAGGGCGCTCTCTACTGTACCTGTAGTGTATTAAAAAGACCGAAAATTTTTTCTTAGTGCAATTTTTTGCTTTTTGAATAAAAAAACTGATTCTTTGCACTTTTCAACATAAAAAAGCTCTCTTGTGAGTTTTCGTTATAGTTAGCCGTTTTTGAGATATTTCGATTTTAAGGTTCGATGCATTTTTAATTATTTATGGGAAAATAATATTTTTTTTTTCATTTTCGATTTGGGCATTACAAGTAA